TACCATCTGTCTTCATTGGTTTGGACAGCTATAACAAAAATACCATAGACTGGGTGGCTTAAACAACAGAAACTTATTTCTCACAGTTCTGGAGGCTGGGAAGTTCAAGATCAAAATGCCAACCAGTTAGGTTCCCAGTGAGGACATCCTTCCTGGTTTGCAGATGGAAGGTGCCTTGCTGTATCTGCACACAGCAGAGAGAATTAAAGTGAGTTTTCTCAGATCTCTTCTTAGAAGGGCACTAATTCCATCATGAGGGTTCTACCCTCTTGCCCTATTTACCTCTCAAAGTCCCCAACTCCAGATACCATCACATTGGGGGTTAAGATTCAATATGAATTTGGGAGGGATCAATAACATTGAGTCCATAGCATTATTCTACTTCCAAGCAGTACATTAAAAGAAAAAGAACCTGTAGACAATGACATTTGAGGACCTCTCGAATGGAACATTATTACAGTAGGTCCAGTATATAATTATTTGGAATTTCTAACAGAAGATGGGAGGAAGTATTTAGAAAGACAGTGCAAAAAAATTACCCAGAACTGAAGAACATGAATACAGGGCCCCTGAGTACTCAGTGCAGTGACTATGAACATAGAGCATGTGAAGATTCATCAGATTTTGTCAAAGCATTTGACAATCTCTCATGTTGTCAACTTGAGTAAATATGGAATGGATTGTAGCGTGTGGGAGTTGAAGGGCCTTACCAGAGTTCTGTTACATATGTAGGTGTTAATGAGTCTTGGTCTTGTTTTATTCAGTATTTTTCTCAGTGATTTGGATGAGAATGTTGACAGCATTTTGATCAAATTGATACCAAACTAACAGAATAAATTCAGTAAAAGAATATGGGTAAAAAAACCCTTTAAGTTTAGAGTGATCTGTTTAATAGCAACAATGTGAAATTTAATAGATGTATGGGGAAAATACTCCCTGTGTTTTTCTTTACTCTCACATTACTACCATATTCACAATACTTCTGACACCAGATGTATGGGTTTTCCATGCATCAAGCAATTTTCTGTGATACCAGTTGTGTGTCCTGTAATTTATTTCAATGCTAACACTATCTGTCTGGAGTTAGCTTCAGATCCCACAACTTAAGGACCCAGTCCCACAATACTAACCCCACTTCAGACATCAGTCATAAGTCTCACGTTGTCACTTGTACTTCTGACTGACTAGCTGTAAATCCACGTTCTCACAATCTACTCCTTGAGTTTGATAATTTTTAAGAATGTCTCCCAAAACTCAGGGAAATACTTAATGTTTATCGGTTTATTATAAAAGATACAGTAAAGGATATAAATGAAGAGCAAGGTCCAGAAGGGTCTCAAATGCAGGAGCTTCTCTGTCCTCATGATGTTGAGGTACATCTCGCCAAATGTGGATATGTTCACCAACCTGGAAGCTCTCCAAACCCATCCTTTTTGGGGGTTCTTGTGTAGGCTTCATTATTACATAGGCATGATTGATTAAATCATTGGCTATTGGTAATCTGACTCTATCTCCAGCCCCTTTACCCTCACTGGAGCTTAAGGGAAGGAATTGGTGGGTGAGATGGGTGATAGGACTGAAAGTTCCAACTCTCTAATCACCTGGTTGATTTTCTTGGCAACCTACCTCCATCCTTTGGGGCTTTCCAAAACTTAACCTTGTTAACATAAACAACCTATGTGGTTGAAGGGGACTTGTTATGAATAATAATAATAAAAAAAAACCACTCCACCTTTGTTTCAGGAACTGAGAGGACAGAAAACCAAATACAATAAAAGGTGCTCTGTTTAGGATATTCCAAGGGTTTTGGCAGCTGTGTAATGGAAGACCAAATATATATTTCTTATTTTAAATCACCATATCACAGTACAGATAAGTAAAAATCTTGAATTTTAGTTCAAAATACAAAATTCATAAATACAAGATGGGAGAAATATAGTTTACAATGGCACCAGTTAAAAATGTTTTAACTGCTTAGTGTAAATCAGCAGCCTAATAGGACTGCCCCCAAACTAACCCAGGATTAGTTCTAGTAAAAGCATTGTATCCAAAACAAACAAGGATCTATGGAGCCCTCCTGTACTTTGCTATTACTCAGCCACACCTGCAGCTAAGTTTTGCATTACACACTTTAAGAATGACCTTGATACACTGGAACTGTGCATTCATTAGAAGGACCTGGATTGTGAGGGGGCACAAAACTACCGTATGAGAGAAAAGATTAAGGTAGAAGAGAGATTAACTAGAATTAGAAAATGGGAGGGCTTATTTTTGGTCTAGCATTAAAAAATTTTTAATTTTAGTTGTTCAAACACTTGTGAGTTCCTTCCTAAGGTACACCCTGGAGGTCAGTGCTGCGGGAGTATTGGGGATGTGGTAGGAATTTCTGTATCACATGGAAATTTGGGCAGAATGACTTCGTAGGTCCCTTACAGTTCTTAAATTTATTGATATACTTGAATGATAATGTATCATATATAATGATGTAAAAATAAAAATGCAAGAACATTTTTTGCCTTTGACACATTTAAGATCTGGTCTGAAATAAAATACATCCTGTTTGAATTTTGAACATAATGGTAGTTATTTATGAGACTCTCAGGTGTAATTTGAAAGTCACAAAACATATTATTAAAAATGAAATTATTAAAAAGGTTTGAGTTACTCCAAATTAATTTAAACATTTTTCTTTTCAAACAGTCCAGGATTGATCAGGACAAGTCTTATATATTTGAACACATGGACAAAATAAACAGGTACTTAGAGATCTCAAATCTGTTCTTTTGGAAAGGCTGTATCTAATTGAATTTGCTAACATTATAATTTTGTTTGATAATGCACTGCATTCTTGAGATCAGATAGTGCTTTTATTTTTACTTACCTTTGAAAATAGCTTCTTGCCCACTCTTTCAAGGGCAAATAAATCCATTTTAGTAATCTGTCACAGGGATTCATTTTAGTGCAATACATTTTTTTGTAATGGGGAAGAGAGGCTTGAAAATAACAGTTAGATTAATTAATCTTTTATCTTGTAAAGTGATCTTCTCTGAAGGTCTTATCAAGTTGATCAGCAAATGGTTTTATGCGGTGATTTGAGAGATTGACAGACTGGCTTAAGGAACACAAAAGAGGAGAAAAGCTATTGGAAAATAAGTATCTCTACATTTTAGAAGCGTCAGTTTTTAGCAGTTAATATATCATTTATTTACATATAAAAGATGCAACAAAGCAAAAGAGAAAATTCAGGCTTTATTTTGCATTAGTGAAGGTGGACTGCAAACACCATCCCAGAGAAGCAATGTTTTATTTCATTATCCTGTAAAATAGGTTGGAAATTTTTTCATTATTGAAATGAAGCTTGGGGGAAGCCTGTGTTTAGGTTCATTGTTGTGTCAGAAAAAGAAATCATGCATTGGTGAAATCATTTGTTTCCTTCCTTACAGTTGGTTCTCAGCCAATACTGTGGAACAGATCATTGAAAATTTACAACAAGATGGTTCACCTTTTGCCTTGGAGCAGTTGAAGGTAATATATGGATCATTTCTGCCCTGATCATGGTGAATTCTTGCGTTAGGGAAGCCTCTGTCAGCTCTGTGGTGGAATATAGCCCACTTAAAATTTTTTTTTATTTTTCTGAACTCAGTTGAGCCTCAGAAAGAGGTTTCACAAAACCTTTACCTAAGCTCAGTGACTCATTTACCTGCTGGATGTTGAAGGCAATGCTAAGCTGTTTTTAGGTCCTTTGTAACAGAGAAGGACTTTAGTCAGCATACATCATCTCCAGTAGTCCTCCTTGTCCTGTGGAAGAAGCATTTAGGGACATTTTTATAAGAAGGATTAGGTGAAAGGTTTGCAGATCAAATGTTTAAAAAAAATTTTAAGAAGATTTTAATACTAGTTTCAGTAACTCTCTAGGATTGCTCCTAATCCCTGTGGGCTCTTCAGGGATTCCTGTCTTCCTTCCACAGGTCCCAAGGATTTTGTCTTCATTTATGTTCTGAGTTGCAGCTATGTCTTAGAGGTTGATTTCTCTCCAAGACTGTCTGTAGGAAAGACAATGCTTTCAACATATGTGCTAATCATTAAATAAAAACAGAGTTCTTTTTTTATCCTTTCTTTAGATTTTTAAAGTTTTACTGCTGATCCTTGTATTATAACATGAGGAAGTCAGAAATTCTTTGTAACTGATGGAGTTTTCGTAGTATTTTATTTTACAGCTTCTTATATCTTTTCTAAGATTTTCTTCCAAAGTTCCAATATGCTTTTTTTAGTTTTAATGCTTAAGGTTGAAATTCATCAAATCTCCTTTTAATCCATCTTGGTGTAGGTTGTTCATTGTGCCAAACAATCCATGTAAGCTAATGGGCTATTTAAATGCCCTGGTGGGTAGCTTACATTAGGGAAACAAACAAACACACCAATTGCAGTGCTCTCACATTTTTGTGTGTGTTTTTAATTGTGGTAAAATGCATATAACGTAAAATTTACCATCTTAATCATTTTTTAAAATGCCTACAACACCTGGTATTCCAAGGTGGTCTCCCATCCAAGTACTGAGCAGGCCTGACCGTCCTTAGTTTCCAAGATCAGATGAGATCGGGCACGTTCAGGGTGGCATGGCCGTAGACCCATCTTAATCATTTTTAAGTGTACACTTCAGAATTAAGTGTTCACGTTGTTGTGCAACCAATCTCCAGAACATTTTCATCTTGCAAAATTAAAACTTTATACCCGTTAAACAATAACTCCCATTTCTCCCTCTTCAGTGCCTGGCACCACCATTCTGTTTCTATGAGTTTGACTACTCCAGATACCTCACATAAGTGGAATTATGCAGCATTTGTCTTACTGTGACTGACTTATTTCACTTAGCATAATGTTTCAAGGTTCATCCACGTTGTAGCATGTACCAAAATTTCATTCTTTTTTAAGACTGAATAATATTCCATTGTATGTATATATCACATTTTGTTCATCCATTCATATGTGAGTGTTTAGAGTTGGTTCTACCTTTCTTGTGAATAATACTACTATGAACATGGGTGTACAAATACCTCTTCGAGACCCTCCTTTTAATTCTTTTGATTATATACCCAGAAGTGGAATTGCTGCATCATATCATAATTCTATTTTTAATTTTTTGAATAATTTCCCTACTGTTTTCCATAGCAGCTATACCATTTTACATTCCCACCATCAACAGTGCACAAAGGTTTCAATTTTTCCGCTTCCTCACCAACACTTGTTATTTTCTGGGTTTTTGATGGTAGCCATCCTAATGGCTGTGAGGTGATAACTCATTGTGTTTTGATTTGCATTTCCCTAATGATTACTGATGTTGAACATCTTTTCATATGTTTGTTGGCCATTTGTATATTTTTGGAGAAATGTTTATTTAAGTCTTTTGCCCATTTTTTAACTGGGTTTTTGTTGTTTTGGTTACTGACTTGTAGGAAGTCCTCTCGTTTCAATCTACCTTTTCTGGTAATGAGACCAGCATGTTTGCCAAAGAAAAGAAGGTTCTTTAGGGCCAATGAGAGAAGTATTTCTTTTCCAGAATTACAAATGTTATCAATAATCAAAGGAATATGAATAGAAGAGATTGAGACTGCTCCCTCCCCTCACTGACTAGAGTAAAGGCTGCTCTGAACTCCACATCCAAAGTAATTCAGTGGGAGGAAGATAGTCTTTTCAACAGATAATTCTGGAACAGTTGGATATTCATCCATATGCAAGAAAAAAGAAGGACTTGAATCTTACCTTGCATCTGTAGGGTAGGAGAAAATTCTCTTCTTCCCTCTTAGAGTCTTTGGCTGGGTCTGAAAGTTAAACTGACATAAGACAGATTAACAGGAGAAAGGCATACAAATTTTATTAAATTTTTACATGTACTTGGGAACCTGCACAAGAGAATGAATGGAGATCTGCAGAAATGATCAGAGCTGGAAGCTTTTATACCTTCTCGACAAACAAATTTATGAATAATTGACAAGACAGAGGGGTTTAGGCTAAGGATAGTAAATGGTAAAGTAACTAGGGAGATAAGGGTTAATTTAACAAAGTTTGTTTTTACAGATTTCTTGACCCCACATTCCTTTTGTCTAGTGGTAAGAATGTCTTCCTTTCTCCTGCTGTAGGGAGGGTACCTTTCACCTGGGAGTTTTATCTCCTGCTTTCAGGAAGAAAAGGAGGGTCAGAGTGCCCTTATATTTATTGTTTCTCAAGTGCATTAACTCAAGATAATCAGTATGCCAAAGAAGCATATCTTGGGGTGACAAGCCTCTGAACTCATTTACACCATATGCAATTCAAAATGTATTATGCACCTATATGTAAGTGCTAAACCTGTACCATTTCTGAAAGAAAATGAGAAAAATCTTTGTGACTTTGGGTTAGCCAAGATTTATTTTAATGTAAAAAGCAACTCAAGAGAAGAATTGATAAATTAATCTTTCTTAAAATTAAACACTTTTCTTCTCTGAAAGACACTATAAAGAAAATGAAGAAGCCACAAATTAGGAGGAAAATTTGCAAAACAGAAGCTGATTATAGAACTTTAATCCGCTATACACAGAGAACTCTTACAACTTATTAATGAGAAGATAAACAACACAAGTGAAAAAATGAGAAATCTAGATTCTTCACCAAAGAAGATATGCGAATGACCAGTAAGCACATGAAAAAATACTCAGGATCTTTAATCATTAGGAAAATGCAAGTTAAAACCACAGTGAGATGTCACTGTGTATTCATTAGGATCACTAAAATTTAGAAGGTTGACAGTACCAACACCAAGTGTCAGTAAGCATGTGGAGCACCTACAACTCACACATTGTTAAACTTACTGTAAGACCCAGCTATCTCACTCCTAAGGATTTACCCAAGAAAAATGTATCTGTACTCATTTTATTCGTAATAGCTCCAGACTGGAAACAGCCTGAACTTTATTAACCATTGAATGAATAACAGATTGTGATGTATTCATACAATGGAATACTAGTCAACTATAAGAAGGATGAGCTGTTGATACATGATACAAAATAGATAAATCTCAGAAGCATTATGAGCTCAGAAGCAAGTGAAAGAAGGCAGACACAAAGGAATACTTACTGTGTGCTTTTATTTTTGAAGAGGCAAACTGTTGGGACAGAAAACAAATCAGTTGCCAGGGTAGAGTTGAAGGAAAGAGAACTCTTGTTCTGTATCTTGATTAAGGAGGTAGTTATACAGCTGTATATAGTGATCAAACTTGTAGAACTGTGCACTTAAATAGTGAATTTTATCATATGTAAATTATACCTTCATAAAGCTAATTAAAATAAAATGGCATATCAAATTATATTAAACAGCTTGACTTACAGAAGTGGGCATTATATTTGCTGAAGGTACCCATTATACTATGCTGTTTATTGCTATTAATGAGTAATTTAATGGCAGTGTTGATGGATGCATTGCGTCTTTGTGGGAGAGTACAATAAACCTGAAGGGAAATGCATCAGTTTATGTGGACAAGAAAACAGTTCCCCAGATGACCGATGGATGTTAGTGAACCTTAAACACTATCATGAGCATTTAGGATATCATGAAATAGCCACACTTGCTTCTTTAGTTACTATCTTTTCATTTTATTTAAATTGTTAATGTTTTTAAGAAATTACCAGAAAAGTCTTAAGATAAGGTTGCAGAAAGCACTCTTCTTAGACTAGCTCTAAACCTTTTACTGTAGATAAGAAGAAAACAATACTAGTGTCCATTTCTTTAAAGTGTTATTTTTTATATAATAATATGATCCTTCAGAATGGTGAAAATATTTTTAAAAATATTTCTGCGAAACTGCAGTATTCAGTGCAATAGACTGACTTGTTCTGGTCTATGTATTTTGTATTTCTGTTGGTTTGTTGTCAATCTGAACACTTCTGGAAAAGATTTACAGATATAGATATATAATGTATAAGCTGATTATTTAGAAAAATGTTCACAATTCATAGCAAAACAGAACTCTTAACTATGGTTGATTTAAACTACTTAAAAAGTCAAAGACCTAGTTAATAGGATAATAAAAATGGCTTATGCTGCTTGGTTTTAAAATAACACATGATATAACTTATTGTGTATTAATTTCTACCTTCTACTTCATTTAACCCCAAGGGTAAATGCCAAAACATATTTCCCATTTAAGCTTTAAAACAACAGAACACAGGTCTTTACTGGCAATGTTGTAGAACACCATAAAAATGGCAGTTATTTCATAAAGATCTGCACCTGTCTGCTTGTCCCCAGTCTCATTATGTGTCTTTTTCTTTCTATGACTTCTGTCTTTTTGCTTTTTAAAGTGCTATCTATGGCAGACCATTAGCTCCTGAGAAGTGTGCTTCCTGCTCTATTCTCAGACACCTATCACAGAGCATTTCACAGGGTAGATATGATGAACGAATGAATGAATGAATGAATGAATGGATATGGTGCTATGCCTCTCCTGAGGTACAAAAATGAAAATCCAGCACCTGTTCTCAGGCAGTTCACAG